AAGTTAAATTTTTTAAAAAGTTGACAGTATACCATTATGTTTTTCAAATGTCTGAGATTTTCATCTGACCCTCCATCTACTAATAATATCCAAATAGGTCGAATTTGTTCATTAGTCTTCAATGCATTATTATATTGGGAATTTAAGGTAAAACTTTCTAGATCCTGTATATGTGTTAGCAAAGATGTACTAATAGACCATTGGGAATATGTAAAAATTACAAGTTGTCCTGTTTGAAGTTCATCTTTTAATTCATTTAGTTTAATAATTAGATATACTGAAGGAATTAGTTTTTGCTTACACCCAATAGGAAAATCGTAATCAGCTACAGATACAGGTTCATTAATTAACTGTAAGGTTTGAAATGTTTGACCTACTGCAGATATTTCAAGACCACTTTGCTTTGTCATCTTGAGAAATAATAATAGACATATCAGCAAACATAGAAGCAAATTATCTTGCATATTTAACAGATGTAAGACAATAATGCTCATCAGAATGCTCTTGAGTATCTGTACGTGAAACTCTGAATATAGCAACTCATGCTAAATGATGATAAGCCTTAGCAGCAATTGAATTGGATTAGTGAGGTAAAAGATAATTCTTTAATATTGTTCGTGCCATATAAATATTATATCTCTCTTCCAAATTCTTACGCAAATTTTTAACAATGCGTATCTTAACCACCTTTTTTTGCCTTTTTGAATCAGCTGATCCAAACTCAACTGAGTTGTGGATTTGATTATGTAGATCTGGATGTTCAAAAAGTAATGGTAGAAGGCTAGAATTATTATACTGAACTACCTCTTGATTCTCGGTAAGTATTTTAAATTTCTTTGCTCTATAATTTTAAGTATATTTCACGTTTCTTTTTAATTTATTAATTTTGTTCTTATTAGAACTAATTTCATATTCAGCTTTTTCTATTTTTATATATATATTATGCTGAATCTGAATGTCGGTTGTGATGTTGTAAATTTGTTTTAATTCAGCAAGTTTTTCTTCAGTTATTTTAATCTCTTTCGCTATCTTCCTTTGAGCTATTATATTCTTAGAAATTTCTAGTATAGGTTTAACTAGATTAATAATAGGAAGGGGGGAAACTGTTTCTAGTATAGGTTTAGGACGATTTGCTTGTATTGTTAGTATGTTATATAGGTGAATTAGAGTAGTAATGTATTCTCTAATTATATTATCAATTTCTGTAGCACTTTTGCTTTTAATGCTTTTCTATTCTGTTACTACTTCATGGTAAACAATAGCACGATTTGGAGTACTATTTCCCATTTTTACCTTAGTATTATATACATAAGCATTAGTGAATTCCTGATACTTATTATCTAGCGAATTGTAAATTGATTTTTTATTAAATTTAAGATCAATAAAGTAGGTTTGATGACTCATTTTTCAAATAAAAGTAGATGCAATTTTTTTGAGAATAAAACTTATTTTTATTATAAAAGCGTAAAATATCAATATATTAAATCCTCTTTTATAAAACTTTTATAGCTAATTATATTAAAATACAAGCCTTCCCACAGTTAATTTATATTAAAACAGAAAAACCACTGCAGCTAAATTTATTAAAAAGAGCACATTATTCTTTTCATATCAAAATTTCACAGTTTAATTTATACTAAAACAGAAAATTTCCATAGCTAAATTTATTAAAAAGGCTTTCGTATTAAAATGCAAACCCTCTGCAGTTAATTTATATTAAAACAGCAAAGTTCTGCCACTCTTTTCGTATCAAAATAGAAAAAAAGCCTCTGTTAAATAGCTTATCTCTGCAGTTAATTCATATTAAAACAGCAAAGTTCTGCCACTCTTTTCGTATTAAAGCAGAAAAAAAGCTTCTGTTAAATAGCTTAGTTTCAGAATGCAGATTTTTTTACCTATTGTATTTTTATAAATAAAAAGTCTAATAATTATTATCACGTGACTTACCTTAATTATCTTACATAGGGTGGGGTTAAGCTTTATATTAAATTGATATTACATAATAAATATCATTACCCTTATACTTATTTTTATATTATTATAAAGTGATAAAATAATTTCTGCAGTTTTAAAAAAGATTGTTCAATATGTAATACAAGGATATTGAGATATTAAACTTGGATTTTATGATATTTATTGCAATTTTACTAAAATTAAATTTGAATTTCAAAAATGGTTTATAATTAATAAAAGTATTTTGATATCTGATTCAAAAAATAAATAATTTTACAATTTTTTAATAAGAAGATTTTTTGATAAACTATGTAAGTATAGTAAGAACTTTTCTATTTATTTCTAAACTTTTTAATTTTAAGTATATATTTAATATTTAATTAAATTTAATATATATAATAATTATAAAATTAAATTTACTTCATATATAAAACATTATATTTTAACTATATCTGATTTACTATTTAATATAAATTCTATTCATTTTTAGCAAATTTCATTTTAACTTTTTATATGCTTTAAACATAATATCTTAGATATAATAAATATATGAGAAATTTTCTATTTTTTACATTTAACTTTGATGTTTTTTATTGGTAAAAATAAAATTAATCATACTAAAGTTAACTTTTAATATAGCGAACTTTTAATATAATAAATTTTTAAACAAATATAATAAAAATACTCTTGTTATAGTGAATTGGCTAATTAAATCTCTTAAAATTTTTACTATAGCTTTATAGTGAAGTTGAGGTCTAAAATGTAGAATTCATTATAATAAGAATTGACTGTATATTTAGTTATATTTATCTATCCATTTTTAGATAAAATCAAGAATTTTGTTTTTATAGCAAATTTTTTCATTTTAAGTTTACTTTTTTATAAACTTAATCTAAAATTTTTATATTAATTCATTTCTTAATAGAAGATTGTAAAAAGATTATAATATTTGTTAATTTTAAGATTTCTAGAAAAGAAAAAGAAACATTTGCTAAAATTTATACATGAAATAATTGATAATATATTGCTATTGCTTTATTTATAAATATACTTTTGTCTATAAAAAACTTTATAGATTTTTATACATAATGAATTTCTAGTTTATTTTCATCTATATTATTTTATTTATATGTTACTTTATAATAAAAACTATAAGTAATTGATTTTCAATAAAGTAAAACTAAATAGGACTTATTTTTCTACTTTATTTTTAGTGATATTTTTTAATGATATAATATATAGAATTGAATTATTATAATACATTATGCAAAATTAAATTATTAAAAATCTAGTTTAATATTCAGTAATAAATTAATCTATCAAATAAAATATATTTATATTTAACCTATTATATTTATCTTTATTATTAATTACTTATTAACACTTATTAATTTACATAGATTAAAAATAAAAATTATGATTTATTTAATAAGTACTTATTAATTACTTATTAATTAAGATTAATATTTAAAGATTAAAAAGTTTTATTACTATTTGCATTTATTTTATTAAAATTTTTTGAGAATAAATAAGTAATGATTATTTGTATTATTTTAAATAATTAATTAAATAGATAAAATATAAATATTTTTAAATTGATTTTCTTTTAAATATATGATAAAATAGTTTAATAAATTTAAAATTAATTATTATCATATTGAACATAATTTTATTAAATTAGAAATTGTATTAATTAATAAATTTTATTTATTTTTTTTAGTTTTTATTTTATCTGAATTTTTATAAATTATATAATTACTATTACATATTAAAGAATTTTATATATTATTTAGTAAAATAATCATAATAAAATTATAAAAATTATATTTTTGCATTTCTTATAACTAAATTAGAAAATATATTTAATAAATTATTTAATAATATTTAAATACTTATAATTAATTAAAAATAATGAAATATTTAAGTATTTCTATTTTAATATTTTAATTATATTAATTTTTAATTTTTTATCAGATGAGATAACATTTATTATCAAAAATGAATTATTATATTACTTAATAAATGTATATTAAAAAATTGATAATGATATTTAAATATTATTTCCTAATAAAAAAAGATTTATAACTATTTATATTTATCAAAAAATATAATATTTCTAATTGTAAAATAAAAGAAATTTATTATATATAATATTTTATCTAATAAATGTTAAGGTATTATTAAGAATACAAATTTATATTAAAATTAATTAAAATTTAAATAGTTTATTTAATTTTTTATATATTAAGTAATGCATAAATTACAAATCAAATTTTAATTTCTATAAAACTTAAATAAAATAACATAAATTCTGATATGAAAAGATTAAAGATATTATTATAATTAATTTGGATTCTGAAAATGATGATAATAAGAAAAATACTTATGCTTTAGAATTTAATGAACTTGAATATCAAGCAAAGGAATTGGTCTTAAAAGAACATGAAATTGCTTTAATAAAATAAGAAGTTAAAATTTATTTAATAGAATGATCTAATTATTAAATAATAGCAACTGATTAGAAAACTGAATATTTGTTTATTAAATGCAATTTTTTTATCAGAAAATTTAGGGAATAATAGTTTTATTTTATAATAATTTTTATTACTTTACATATAATATATAAAGAATTTTTTTGATATTTTGATGTTTAATTTGTTTATAAATTATATATTACTTTTTTTATAAATATTAATTTTGATATTTAAAATAATTTACAATCGTACTATACACAATTCGTTGTTACATACAATTGAGTACGAAAAAAATATACAACTCACATACTCATCATCACCATCATACAATACTCCATCATATCAATATTTGTATGATATATGTATGAAAAAAACCCTTATACAAATATTTCAAAATCATACTATACTGAAAAGTAGAAGGACTAACCATTTAAGGGTTAGATCTTATTTTAATTGAATGTCGTAATACATGATAGATAATCAACAAAATTATCGGATATAAAATCAGATAAATGTCATATTTTATCAAAAAAACTATTTTCACTTTACAGCTTTTCATATTTAACTTTGAAAATGGCTTCTGTTTCAGAGACCGTTCAAAATGATAGTGGAGTATGGGATACCAAAGTTCAACAATTTCACGGTGGTCAAGACTGGAGATTCTTGGACAACTTTGTCGAAGACTTTTCAGTTACTACAAATGCCTTAGGTACACCTAAAGCCGCGTTAGAAGCAGCCAAAGAGGCAGTAAGTTTGATTGTATTTTGATTGATATGCCATCGTTGAGGTTCTTGTGACAGGATATATTAATTGAATCGCTCGAATTTCTTGTAGGTTAATACTTGTCATCATTATCCACCTGCAGACCAAGAACCCGCCAAAACTTCCCTGGCCCAATTCATCTGGCCTGATGATTATTCCGTAAATCATGGTAGATTACTTCTTGGTAATGGTGCGAGTGAATTGATCGATTTGGTCACAAGATCTGCTCCTTTAGGCACATGGAAACCTGGTCCGTGGGATGTTCAAGTAACTTCAAATATAATTAAATTATTTTTTTTTGTTAAAATCTCAAATGACAAGTGAGCTAATAATCCTTTTTTTTTTTTTTATATAGTACAAGGAATATGAAAGGTCGGCAGAAACTAATGGAAGGACCATTCTTCAACCTCAAGATACCACACCTGCCAATCTTACGTGTATCGTTAATCCTTGTAATCCGACTGGTGATTACAAAAACATTATAGAATTAAAGCACTGGATTGATGATAATGTTGCGGATGGTGGTTTTGTTATCGTTGGTTAATATTGATTAATTTACTTTCAATAATTATTATAATTATTTTATTATTTTTAAATTAACAAGCAAAATTTTTTCTATTTTGGAATTTTAAAAGATGAATCAATGCAACCTTGGTTATCACCCGATTTCCGAGCCGATTCTCTTACTTCCCAAAATGAATTCATTGCCATGCTTTATCAAACTAGACGAATTTCAGTTTATATTATACATTCATGGACAAAAATCTGGTCGTGTACTGGTTTACGTTTAGGTTCCGTTGTATGTCCTACTTTAGCACATTGCGAAGTTTTAAAAAAACTTCAAGTACCTTGGAGTGTTAATTCCCCTGCACTTGCATTCTTAAATGAAGTTGTCAAAGATGCTGCATATATGGAACAAACTTGGGAACTTACATCAAAATGGCGTGCTGAAATCATTGAAAGATTAAAACCTCTGTCAGATAGTATCGCACAAGCAATGAATGATGAAGAATTTGCCTGGAAATTTTACGGAAAAAGCTTTTTATCATGGATTTGGATTGATACAAAATCTAAATCAATAGCTGATCAAGTGGTTTTTAGAGCCAGAGCTGCTGGTGTACCAGTTCGAAGTGGTTCTCCTGGCTATAATCGTCCAACTTATATTCGTGTAGCAGTTCGGGAACCTTCCAAAGTTGATGTCTTTATGGATGCTTTGCGAGCATTCGAATTAGAAGAAGAAGAATAAATTTATTTACTGTTTTTTTTTTTTTAAATTTATTTAATTGCAATTATATTTTTTTCAAACTACACCACCTTGAATGCTAGAAGTCATATTACTTCGTCATCGGTCCTATATATTTGAGACAACATTCTAAAGCTTCGATTGTAATAGTTCGACATCATCTTTTCCACCTTATGAACACAAAACATTTTTTTTATTATTTGTTATAAAATTAGTTCTACTATCATTATTTTGACAAATATAGAATAGGATAAATTTGGAATTGTTTTATTTCCAAACTAAAAACAAGTTATTAAACAACAAAATTTAGTTTTGATTATATTTTTGATATTTAAATTATAATCAACCAATAAAAATTCAAGTTTTTGTGTAATTAAGAGGTTAAATTTATAATAATAATTTTTTTAAGAATAAAAAGAGATTAGAGAATATTGAAGAAATCTGTGAAGAAACTTTTGAAAAATCCGAAGAAAACATTCTAAAAGATAAATATTATATTATTTTCTTTATTATAATATCCAATATAGAAAAATATAAAAAATATTTGTTATTAAAATTAAAATTATTAAATATAGTAATGTAATTAATATATAATCTTAAATAAGTTTTTAAAACTTTAATTTTATATTAAAAATTTAATACTTTATAAAGTTTTTAATAATATAAAAATAATAGATTAAATTTTAATATTTATATAGAATATATTTATCAAAAAAAAATATTAAAAAGTTTTAATTATAAATTGATACAAAAAATTATTAATTAATATAAATTATTTTTTGTTTTTATTTTAAATTTATTTTTTAATTTTTAATAAATAGTTTTTTAATACAGGTATTTTGTAATAAAAAAAAGAAATCATAGTAAAATTGTTTTTTTTTTTTAATTCATATTTCTGAAATTAATGATAAATTTTATTAATAACAAACTATTAAAAAATAAAATTTTAGTTTTTAATATATAATCAATTAAAAAATATTTAGAATGTTTTAATGATTTTATTGCTTTTAATATAACTTAATATTGAGCAATTTTCTACGTAATAAATAAATCACGTGAAATTTTTTTAAAAAAAAATTAATATTAAGGGGTTCGACCAGTTAATTTTTTTTTATATATAAGTATGCTTCGATCAAAGATATTATCTCGAAACCTCTTTTCAAATATCTTGCAATATAAAATCGATATAGTTTTTCCTCCAGTTTCTGTTTATGTTAACAATCTCGATAATGTACAGAAAAGGTTTGCAGGGCATAATAAATGGAGCAAAGTCAAATATGTAAAGGGTCCTAAAGACCTTGAACGCGGAATTTTATTTACCAAACTCTCAAAAGAAATTCAACTTGCAATAAAACGTTGGTGTTTTGAGCATTTTATATTATACCGAATATTTTTTTTTTTTTTCTTTGATCCGAATATTCATATTATTATTCGACGTAATAAGTGGGAGGTCCTGATCCCGCGTTAAACGTTCGCTTAGCTGCTGCACTAGTCAGTGCCAAAAGAGCACACATGCCTAAGGATAATGTGGAAAATTCAATTAAAAAGGTTTGTATGAATGAGAATTTTTTTTAACATTTTACGATATCGATATATTAAGTTAAAATTATCTATAGGCATTAGGTCAGGGAAAAGCTGAAAATATCGAGAACATAACTTATGAAGGATACGGACCCGGTGGAGTCGCGTTTATAATGTATATTATTAACATTTCATGTCTCAATTGTTTTTTTTTTAAAAATCTAACGAGTTTTCATATAATTAAAATTTATGATAGAGAAACTGTGACAGACAATAAAAATAGAACTGTTAAGGACATCAAACATTATTTCGCTAAAGCTGGGTACGAGGTGAATCAATCCTATTTAATTTCACTAAATGGCTTGTTCTGTTGAATTTTTGAATTCATTAAAATTATCATACTTGTTGCGATATTTCAGAGGATCAATGTCAACTGTGTCTTGGATGTTTGATAAAAAAGGTATGATCTAAACGTATGCATATCAATTACATGAATCTTGTCTTTCGTTAAAAGTTTATTATTATTGATGATGAATAAAGGTACAATTCAATTCAATCCGGGTTCAACGCAAGACACAATTGACAAGATGATGGATAATGCTATAGAAGTTAACGGGGTTGAGGATATTCAGGAATTAGAGGATAATTCACTAGAGGTATGGTTAAATTATAAATAACACTGCGATTCTCAAATTTTCGAATTCTCGAATTCTCGATTATTATTTTAAGCATTGTTCTCCACAGATCACGTGTCCACAGTCATCCGTTAATGCGATATACGAGGAATTAACGAAAAAACATAATTATGAAGTTATTAGGACGAGTAGTGGATATATCCCCACATCAACCGTTAAAATAGATGAAGACGATAAAGAATTAGTGGAAAAGTTTACCAGATTTATGAACAATCTAAATGATCATGAAGATATTGTTAAAGTACATAATAATGCTGAATAAATGAATTATTTTATTTTATTTTATTTTTTTTTTTTTTTAAAAAAAAAAAAAAAAATGTCAAAGTTTACATGCATTTTTTATCAAACAAATTGAACGTACATTTTAAAATTTACTGCTCATATTTCAAAGGCTTTTGCGCATCAATACTAACAACATCGGATACTTTGATATTTAACTTTCTTTTTTAAAAAAAAATCAAATTTTTTTTCTCGAAATTTGAAAGCGAAAAATTTCCTTTTCTAGTTTCTAATTTCTATATATTTTATATATAAGTATTTTATATTATAAATTAACACATGGAAAAGAATTATTTAAGTTTATGGATTAAAAAAAAAAAAATAAATACACACAACAGTATATATGTAAATCTCCACGCAAAACACGACATAAAACATACAATAATCCATTCAACATTTCGATAAATAAATAAAAACCGTGCACAAAAAAAAATAAATCCCAAAAGAAAAAAAAAACTCGCATGTATGCATCATTTTACATCTGGATTTATATTTTATATATTATTTACTTTGCATAAAGATGACTTCCTGTTGCATCTAAACACCAAACATGTGCATCATTCTTTTTTACAAGTTATAAGATGAAATAAAAAAATTCATACACGAAACCAAAGCTAATTTAGGTTAATGTTAAATGTCCGACGCAGTTTATTATAAAGAAAGTTTAGTATTAGATACCCCCGATTATGCATAATTTAAAGGCAAAAAAAAAAATAATCATTTACTTTTTTTGATTCTTCACATTGATTTTACATTTAAAATAGTTTAGTTTTTCAAAAAAAAAAAAAAAAAAAAAAAAAAAAAAAAAAAAAAAAACCAACAACCAAATAAAAAAAACTCTCAAAAAAAATTAACTTTTTTTTACACCACCCGAAAAAAAAAAAA